GAGAACCCTGTAGAGGAGGTGACGAGCAGAAAGGCTCAGTGTTACCAGCAACCTCATGCTGTCCTTTGTCCCGCCTATGTGCTTCCTGAGTCCAGGCTCCCAGGCATCAACGTGGAGGGCTGGCAGCGTGGGAGTTCCCAGATGGGACCCTCCTAGCAGGTGGGAGTTTGGGCAGATGAGGAATTGTCTCCTGACATGGGTCTCCCTCCTAGAGGGTGTGTTTCAGTTGCAGTAATTTCACAGCCACACGGTTCACTCTCTACTTGTCCAAGTCATTTTCTTCTCTCCTCTTCACTACAGCCACGTGCAGGAGGCAGACAGGGATTATTGCTTCTGGAGAAACTGAGGACCCCATCAGGGGCGTGAGAACCTCGGCGCCCCTGTGCTCCATGCCCAGTTTGCTAGCCCATGCTGCCCCCTGGTGGCCGGGCCCAGCACCTGCCTTCAAGAAGTCTTGGTCACCTAGCATTTCCCTGGGTTTGCAAAGAGCAATGGCCAGCCTTCATGAGCAGCCTGATCGGGAGGATGACCTCTCAGGACCCCTACGTCACTTTATTTTATTCTTTTAAATTTTTTAAAAGTTCCTTTTGAGAGCGAGAACGGGGAAGGGCAGAGAGAGAGAGAGGGAGAGAGAGAATCCCAAGCAGTCTCCACGTCGTCAGAGCAGAGCCTGATGCGGGGTTCAAACTCACGAACCGGGAGATCACGACCTGAGCTGAAACCAGGAGTCCAAAGCTTAACTGACTGAGCCACCCAGGTGCCCCTCAAGACTCCTACATCACTTTATCAGCCCCTCTCCCTGTCTCCGAGCATTAAATATATTCACGCATATATTTAATTGCAAAATATATATAACATTACGTGAATCATCATAACCATTTGTAAGCATGTACAGACAGTTCAGTGGCTTTTTTAAAGCACCTTCACACTGTTGTCCAACCACAGCCTCCAATCATTTCCAGAACTTTTTGTCTTGCAAACTGAAAGTCTGTATTCGTTAAATAACTCCCTCTTCCCCCTCCCTCCAGCCCCTAACTGACCACCCTTCTTTCTGTCTCTGTGAATTGGGCTACACTAAGTACCTCACAGAAGTGGAATCAGACAGTATTTGCCTTTTTGTGACTGGCTAATTTCACACCGCAGAGAGCTCCCTAGAAGTGTCCCCTCCTGGAGTGATGTACAGCCCGGAAGCCTAAAGCATCCCCAGAATTCCATCCACATATCATTGCTGGAAACACACCCAACCAGAAATAAGCTGGAGCACGAGGAACCACAGCACAAGGTGACATATTAATGATAGGAAAACCTGAACGGAACCAAACCTGGTGACTGAAAAAGCAAGGGGGCCCCTGGCACACGGGAGCCGGCCTGGCCCTCACAGCTGGGCCGAGCTGC